GGAAGAAAACTTGCAGGGGCTGGAAAGATGGATCAGTGGTTAGAGTGCCAGCTGTAGAAACACAAGGACCTGAGGTCTCCACTCCTAGCACTCCATGAAAGTCAGGGTGAGTGTGCACCAGTAATTTCAAGGCTTTAGGGGACAGAGACAAGAGAATGCTAGGCTTGCCGGTCACCCAGTCGAGATGAAATGGCAAGCCAGGTTCGATGCAGATGGTCTCAAGGGGACAGATGGAGCTTGATAAAGTGGAACACACAATGCCCATACTCACATAAACCAAAAGAAATGAAAATTAACAGACTAGAAAAATACAATGCAATTTAGAAAGTTTGGAGATCGGTTTCCTATAAAGCAGAGGAGGGAGGCAAAGCTAAAAATAAAAAGAACTCAGAAAGTGTGTGTGGGGTAGGGGGCATAAATATAGGAAGGAGAGGAAGATGTTAAAATAATAGTAAGGATGTCTGAAAAAGTCCCAAGAATCATCGAGTATCTAGCTAAAACACCTATAATACATATCAGTCTGTGATCACTTATATAAGTTTAAACGAAATTTCCCATTTTGGCTGGCAGTGCTCCCTCTAAGTGCCAGAGACTATCTAGCAAGACCCCCAACACCAGGCATGGGAAGCCCTCTTTCGATTTGTTGGCCAGAGTTGTCCAAGAGACTCCCAAAAGACACTGTCTATTGCTACTGCCCTTGGTTGCTCACGGAGGTGAGACGTTAAGTCCCTATTGCTGAAGACACTATCTACTTCAGACATAGGGCCTAGGGGACCCAACTTAGATCTGACTTTCGAATCTCCTCCCTAAAGACTAACTTTCATGGTACCAGAAGGTTCTATGCAAGCTTCTGAAAGAGGGAAGCAACCAGCTATCTTAAAGGTTGAAAGCATCCATTTATGAAGATTAGTTGATAAACTATTTATAATACTGCTTGTACTATGGGTCAACTGGGATCAGTTAAAGCCAATAACTTTTTCAAGATTTCTGAAAAGTATTTTATTCTTTTCTCCACATGATCCTTTCTATGCTGTTCAATAAATACAGAACAAAGCCCCTTTTGAGGGACATCCACATAACAGACATACACATACGCAGGACAGTTACACACAGGGACAGATTCAGACTCATGCCACAGACAGAAGATGGGCGACACAGGGAACATGAAGTAGAGAATTCAAATCTGGACTCACTCTTGGTAAAATGACTCCAAGGGGGAGTGCTTTTATTTCTTGCCTTAATGCAACACCAATGAATCATTGCAAACTCGGTGTTAGTTCCTAATGTGTTTGTCTAATCGATATACACAGTAACTAACAGCTCTGTAATTGGTCTTAAGACCTGCTCAACAAGAAGAAAATCATGCCTGGTACTGGAAATCTAGCCAATTTTCCAAGGCTAGTGAAATCATGGATCTTGAAGAACCTACAGCTGCTACTTTACTAAACTAGCACAATCCCTAATACATTCTAAACATTTGTCCTTATACACATAGATAAATATAGCTCTACCCTTCATCCAGGAATCTTCTCTTTGCAAAAACAGATGGAGAGCATTATAGACGATAGCTGATCACAATGCAGTTGTAGAGCCCAGTCCCAACAAATACATCAACACAATTCCTCCACCTAAGCATCATTGTGGAAGAGGAGGCAGAAATATTAAAGCCAGAGGAACAGGAAGTCTGCTCTGAGACAGTATTTCCTAGAAATGACAGGGAAGCTACAGCCATGAAGTCTCACCACATGACTGCCTAAACATCGGCTGAACAAGGACAACACCAAAAGACATGCTAACATGGAAAGGGAAAAGCTCAGAAGGCCTCAACCCTAGACAAAGAACTACAGGTTACTGAGGAATGCTGAAAGCAGAAGAAACAGTCTTCCCCAGGGAAAACCGCATCAACTGATTATCCAATACCAACCTTGAAAACGTGTCCATACAAGTAACATTCTACAGACTGAGCAGGATGTATTTATTTATTTAGGAGTATGTACATATTCATATATATTCCTAAATAAATATACACACACGTAATTAAAGAAAAAAAAACCCATGAATTTGACAGAGAACAAGGGGGCAGGGTACATGGAGGTATTGGAGAGAAAAAAGGGAAGGGGAAAATGATGTAAATTTATTATTATCTCAAAAAACAAAGTTATATGTGGTGATATATTGTGTACCCCAGTAAAGCTTACCTAGGGATCAGAAGACAGAGCCAACCACTAAATTAGACATAGAGGTCAGGCAGTGGTGGCACATACCTTTAATCCTGTGACTCAGGAGGCAGAGATCCATCTGGATATCTGTGAGTTCAAGGTCACACTGGGCTACATGAGAGAAACAGAACCAGGCAGTGGTGGCTCACACCTTTAATCCTAGCACTTGAGATCTCATGCCTTTGCTTGGGAAGCACACACGCCTTTAATCCCAGGAAGTAATATGGCAGGACACAGAAAGGTATATAAGGTGTGAGGAAACAGGAACTCGCTCTCTTGAGGCTGAGGATTTTGTAGAGGTAAGCTAGTGGTTGGCTGTTCTGCTTCTCTGATCTTTCAGCTTTCACCCCAGTGTCTGGCTCTGGGTTTTTTATTATAAGACCTTTTAAATTTGTGTTACAGTTATAATTAAAAAAAGTCAGAAAGCTGGCTCAGGAATTGTTACAGAAGAAGGGGCAGAATGAATGCAAATGCTAGAATTCAGGAAGGACTAAATGGAAATGGTCTTCTGGACATAACAGGTTCTCTACTGTCATGAACCTATAGCAGCTGTGGCTGCCTGCAAAAGATCAAACTGGTCAGCCTTCTAGCATGAGGTGGAGCTCATGAGCCCCAACCCTGAGGACATATTATCCTAGTTAATGGCTTTGGGTGGAAGGAGAGTAAGTTTTCTTTTCTTTTTATTTTATTGGCATTTTGCCTGTATGTATTTGAGGGTGTTGGATCCTGGAGTTACAGAGAGTTGTGAGCTGCCATTTGGGTGCTAGGAATTGAACTCAGGACCTCTGGAAGAGCAGTCAGTGTTCTTAACCGCTGAGCCATCTCTCCAGCCCCCGAGAGTAAGTTTTCTTTAAGGGTATGGCACCTGGTGGCCACATACTCAGGAGCATGTGGTCAGCGTAAATTGAAGTTGGTGGGTTATTTAAAAAAAAAAAAATACAAAAAACAAAACATGAAGTTGGGAGGAAGTAGGAAGACAGTGGATGGATATAAGACAAATATGACCAAAGTACATTGTATGAAATTCTCAAAGAATTAGTAAAAATATTACATTAAAAAGTCAGAAAGCCAATTTTTTTTTTTTTTTTTTTTTTTTTTTTTGTTTTTCGAGACAGGGTTTCTCTGTGTAGCTTTGTGCCTATTCCTGGAACTCACTTGGTAGCCCAGGCTGACCTCGAACTCACAGAGATCCGCCGGCCTCTGCCTCCTGAGTGCTGGGATTAAAGGCGTGCGCCACCACTGCCCGGCCAGAAAGCCAATTTTTAATTCTAATATTTAGGTAACTAATTCCAAAGAGAAGAGAAATCTTTAAACTGTTTAAGATTTTCTTACATGGAAGGACAAAGTTTTCAGCCTGAAAACTCACCATGCACTAGACAGAAGGGGTGAAAACAAACCTTTCCTAGAGACAGCACAGTGGGGCAACGGCAATACTACAAATGTCAAGTGGGTAAGAATTCCAGACCATGCCAAAACACCTCAAAAAGTCTAAAACAGACATCCCAAGCATGGAGTCTCAACACATTTACTTCTCAGTTTTGTTTTCAAGTTATTGTTCCATCCACTTTGGGGGAAAAATGGAAAAGTGGAGGTCTAGGCTATCAACTGGAGAGTGTTGGTAGTGGCCCAACATGAGGTAATGTAGATCAAGCTTTCTGGAGAACTTTCTCCAAGACGATGCCATTGATAAAACACCTTTTTCTGGAAGTCAAATGGACTCCAAAGGGAGACCTTGAGGACACAGAGGCTGTTTCACAAAAGTCCCCTTTGGACCAAACAAGTTCCCATAACAATCAAGTCTCCTCACTTCATGCAACACTGATGTATCATTAGAAACTCAGTGTTAGTTCCTAATGTGTTTGTCTAATCGATACACACAGTAACTAACAGTTACTAAAGCCCTTGCATCATTGCTGTGAATATCTTGACTCACTTGCCTGCAGCTCAAACTGTTGTGCCCCTATTTAATGAGATTCCTTTCATTCTACATAACACAATTTTGACCAACTTCAAGATTCCCTTTACTTGTAGCTCTACTCTGTGTAGAAAAAAGTATTAATGTTCTTCCAGGTTTCTGTGCTTTTGTCTTGTGCACCAAGGCACTACTGAGAATCTGGAAATGAAGTTTCATCTTCAAAAAGTGTGTCCAGAACGGCCTCCTACTGGAGTGGTTAATGGGACAATGAAGTAATAAATAACTTGAAAGGGCTGAAGATGTAGCTTTGTGGTAGAGTAACTGCCTAGCATGCAGGAGGCCATGGGTTCAATTCCCAACAAAGAAGAGTACTTCCGATTAATGTGCATAAAGTTCGCCTACACATTCTTGCCCCTCATTTGTAGTTCATAATGGTCAATGAATTGCCAGGAATTTAACACCAACTTTGTAGGTTAAAGATGTAAAATTTGGTCCTTTGGAACATAAATTAAAAATAATAATCACAAAACAATTTAGAAACATACAAATTCTATTATAATTTTTGTCTTAATATATAAAATACAAATTATACAGTGGTATGTACATGAAATATACTATTTACATTCTACTCATGTAAAGTTGATTAACAATAATAACAAGTGATACTTGATGCATATGAGAGTGTTCTAATTTTGTTTCTGACCTAAGTTATACAAAATCAGACATAAAACATGAATACCCTGACCAAGGGAAACAGAAGGATTAAACAAAATTTCATTGACAACTGATGTAGTTCCAGCTTGACCAGATCATTTCCTGAATAGACATCAGTTATATTATTTTTTTCCGACACTTAGTAACCCCACATTGGCAGAGGATTTCCTTTTCAGGCATGGTCCCAGCTTCATAACCATAATCCCATGTTAGTTCTGTTCTTGCTTTCACATACCTAGAAAGTAGAAATAAAAAAGAATCATAAATCATCCTAAATAATTCCACCTGAATCAACCTTGAATATGCCAATTTTCATATTGACAAAATTAACCATACTAAAGTTGATCTATTCTCTCTCTACATCATCCACCATTTAAGATAACCTTTATTAGGAGTAATCATTTGACTTTTATTTCAACTCTCCCAAAATCTTGTGTAAGAAAGTCTGTCTGTCTATGAGGAATGGTGTTTTACAAACATGAAGGCTGTGGCACACAAACAAACGAAATAATTCAGACATTAAAAAAGATACAGGAAGCCGGGCGGCGGTGGCGCACGCCTTTAATCCCAGCACTTGGGAGGCAGAGCCAGGTGGAGCTCTGTGAGTTCGAGGTCAGCCTGGTCTACAGAGTGAGGTCCAGGACATGCACCAAACTACACTGAGAAACCCTGTCTCGAGAAAACCAAAAAGAAAAAAGAAAAAGGAAGAAAAAAAAAAAGATACAGGAAATGGGCATATTTCGTATGTGAGATAGCTTTCTTTTTCAATTGCTATTTTTACTTCAGGATATTAATGTTTTCCTTTGGGTGTTTTGGCAATGATTTTGTGAATTAAAGCCATTTGCTATTTTTTTTCCTCAATATTTTTCTTCTTGTATTTTTCTCCTACATTTTTAAGAACTGAAGATGCTGTGGGATGTTTTGTATGGCAAATGTGTTGCTAATTAGTCAATAAATAAAACACTGATTGGCCATTGGCTAGGCAGGAAGTGTAGGCAGGACAAGGAGGAGAATAAAGCTGGGAAGTGGAAGGCTGAGTCAGAGAGACACTGCCAGCCACCATGATGACAAACAGCATGTGAAGATGCCGGTAAGCCACGAGCCACGTGGCAAGGTATAGATTTATAGAAATGGATTAATTTAAGCTGTAAGAACAGTTAGCAAGAAGCCTGCCACGGCCATCCAGTTTGTAACCAATATAAGTCTCTGTGGTTACTTGGTCGGGTCTGAGTGGCAGTGGGACTGGCAGGTGAGAGAGATTTATCCTGACTGTGGGCCAGGCAGGAAAACTCTAGTTACAGGAAGATAGTGCACTTCTCATTCAGTATTGTTTTGCTTGTGGCCATTTCCAGCACCTCTGAATCGGGACTCATTGCTGTGTTGGGCTGTGAGCTGTTATTCCATCTCTGGAAGACCTGGCAGTCAGAGATGACTACATTCAGAACCAGGAAGAACCTGCAGCAAGTTACTAAATAAATCTTGCTGTCTGAATGGAGGGATCTACATCCTGGAGTCCTTCAGTACCTGTCTACCTTCCTTCAATGGATGCAACTGTGAACATGATATATGCAAACAATCCTGTGGGTCTGTATCACCTGGCAACAGGCTGTCCAAGAAGTGTTCCCTGTATAGGTACACAGCCAGTTCCTCTGGTTCCCTCAGATCTTTCTACCTGGCTATGGTGATCATGTGATGGACTAGGATCTCCTAACATTGACCCTTTCAAGAGAGTTGGCATTTGCCCTTTCCTAGAAATTCAAGTGTAGGTGTCATATGTATTTGATGGCCAGTGTTCTAAAACAAAGTCAATCATCTGTCATTTGTCCTAAAATAATGCATACATCTATCTCCACAGTGATCCCTAACATGCTGTCTCACAGCACTGACTACACCTTACCTCTGCAGCACTCATCCACTCTTTCTACCTGTGCCGGTGGTCAGAGCCATAGCTTTGTGCATGTTGGGTGTTCTAATGCCAGGCTGTATCCCCAGTCTATAAGCTACTTTACTTTTAAAATGCTAATTCATGTCCACACCCTGTTTCTTCATAACTAAAACTCTCTTACATTTTCTTACTGATACTTTTAAACAATTCTAAAGATTATTAAATCTTTTTGTGGAACTGGGAGTACATTTGAAGTAGATTAAAAAATTATCTTAAAAAAAAAAGAAAAGTAAAGGTCTAGGTGAGGCCTTCAATCCCAGCACTCAAGAGGTAGAGGTAGGCAGATCTGAGTTCCAGCAAATTACACAAAGAATCACTGTCTCAAAACAACACAAAACAAAACAACAACAACAACAAAAAGAGTTCACGGCCAACCTGGGCTATGTACTGAGTCCTAGGTCAGCAAAGGGTAAATGGCAAGACCCTGTCACAAAAACAACTGAAAGCTAAATGAATCTCTTCTGCAAAATTACTGAAGGCTTTCTCCAACACATACAATGTTATTAAGTGTTGTAAAAGAAAATGTTTATTGGAAGTTTGTTTTAATACTATATTATGAATATGCACAATAAAAATGGGAACTCTTTTGATCAAAACAAAAATGATACAACACTCTTCCTCACGTTCCTCTGAACTGAACTATGTAATCTGATGTCCTCAGCCCCTTAAGAAATTAATTCTAAATGAGAATAAGAATAGAAATTCCAATGGTTTAAATTTTTACTGACTAGTTAACAGTTTCGGATAACTGACTCTTTTAGGATACCTTGATATTTGGGGCTATGTTTCATCTTTTCATACTTTTTTCATATTTACTATTTTAAAAGTCATAGCTGCAGCATTAAATTGTATAAGCAAAACAAGTGCAAACCTGTTGGTGAAGAAGGCGACCAGTGGGAAATTCCTGTCATGTGTTTCTACAAAAACGTTCTGTACACAGAGATTTGGGGAACAACTATGCTGTTTAAAAAAAAAAGAATTAAACATAAAGGTTACACACAGCATAAAATTTAGAACCTTGTTATTTAAAGTATGTGAATATCATTGTTTCCTACACATCTCACTGATTTCATCTTTCTCATTTTGAACCCAGTCAGTAAAGCCATTCAGGTATCCTGCTGAAATATAAAATAGAACCCCTTAAATGGGGATTGTTTGTCAGTACTTAATATTATAAATGCATTTATCTTTTGACTCAACAACACTATTATTAAAAATATTGTACAGAGCCATCTGTATAGGTATCAATGTGTAAGATTGTTAATAAACAGTTTTAAAACAGGAAACAGTTGGAAATAATACTTATCCATAGAGAGCTAGTTAAGAATGACACAATGGAATTCCATGCAGCATAAAAGGAGAAACATGCTAACAAGAAGAATCAGGGCCAGTAAGATGGCTCAGTAGGTAAAGGCATTTGCCAACAAGCTTGACAACTTGAGTTTGATTCCTGGAACTTACATGGTAAAAAGGGGAGTACCAACTTTTCAAGTTGTTCCCTAACCTCCACACATGGATGTGACATGTATGTATACCCATCCCACATACAAAATAAATAACTAAATGTAAAAAAGGAAAGTATCAGGAGCTCCTCTGCACTGATACATAATGATCTTCAAGATAGTATTGTTAACTCAAAGAGTGAATATAAGAAATAGCTCAAGCTGAGCGGTGGTGATGCATGCTTTTAATCTCAGCACTTGGGAGGCAGAGGAAGGCAGATTTCTCTGAGTTTGAGACCAGCCTGGTCTACAAAGCAAGTACCAGAACAGCCAGAACTATACAGAGAAATACTGTCTTGGGGGAAAAAAAAAGAAAGAGAGAGAGAGAGAGAGAGAGAGAGAGAGAGAGAGAGAGAGAGAGAGAGAGAGGGCGCGAGCAAGCACTCAATCAGTTATGTACTTGCTATGCAAGCAAGTAGACCTGAGCTCAATCCCTAGACCCCAGGTGAAAAAGCCAGGTGTGGCGGCACATGGTTGTGATATCAGGACTGGGAAGGTAGAGAGAAGAGGATCCCTGGGGCTTGCTGCCAGACAGCCAAGCCTGATTGGTGAGTTGCAGGCCAATGAGTAAACTTGTTTTAAAAAACTAAGGTGAATGGCACTAAAGGAACAACTTAGGATTGACCTCTGACTCCCAAACACACAGGCACACATGTGCATGTAGGCCACGCCATGCACTTACACACTCACAAAGTAAATAAGCTATACAAGAAAGAATGCCACATATGCGTTTACTTGCATTTGCAGAGTCGGGGATGGGGTGGGGGCAGAATAAACAAAGAGTCACAGAATAGGGTCAGGGAAATTGGCAGCATAATACTTTTCAAGAGAAGGCCTTAGCTGGACAGTGCCGACACACATCTTTCTTTAATCCCAGCACTGGGAAGCAGAGGCAGGCAAATCTCTTGAGTTTGAGGCCAGACTGGTCTACAAAGTTCCAGGACAGCCAGAACTACACAGAAAAGAAACCCTGTCCTGAAAAACCAAAATACATACATACATACATACATGGAAAAGGCCTTGAAAATAAACAAATATTTACAGAGTTTTAACATGAAGAGTATACACAATATAATATTATATCCTAATCCAAACCAGCACCTTCTTTGAAGAGGAGACATGTGTAAGCAGTCAATTTTTCTCAACATAGGCATGTAACCTCTTTCCAAGGCTTGTAACATGACAGTACTCTCAATACCACCATTCCAGCACTTCTTAGATGTCCACTGTCTTCTCAATATTGACATCTATTACCATCACAAGACTCATAAAGATACCAAGTCTCTCCAATATCATTGAATATGTCCATTACTAAGTTTGAATGATGATTATTTCCTATTCAATTTTTTTTGTGCAACTTGGACAATTGAATTTGAAAACTGTGTATTTTGTGCACACATGTATGTGAAAACATGCATGTATATGTGCACCTGTCTATGGAAGCTGAAAGTCAAATGTCAGATGTCTTGATTGCTCTTCACCTTTTTCATACATATACCAATTTTTGTAACCTATTTTTTGAGAAAAGGTCTCATTGAACTTGGAGCTTGATGATTGGCTAGATCAGCCAGTAAGCCCCAGCATCTTCCTGTCTTCTCCCCAGTGCTAGGATTACAAGTGCATGCCATGATGCCTGTTTTGTGTGTATCTCTCTGTATATGATATACTATGTGTGGTATTGTGTGCATGTGTGTACACAGGCACACATCTGTGTATGTATGAGGAAGCCAGAGGATGTTGGGTATGCAGCTCTATCATGTTCCACCATAATCCCTTGAGAGAGCATCTCTCACTGAAACTGGACCTAGCAAGCCTCTGTCTCCACCCCCAAGAGTGCTGGGGTTATAGGCATGCACATGGCCACACCAGCTTTTTATGTGGGTGCTGGGATCCAAACTCAAGTCCTCAGGCTTGGCAAGCACTTTACTGACTGAGCCATCTTCCCAGCCCTGAAAACTGATTGATGAATTTACTTTTCCTTGGCTTTATGTTTTGTTTTGTGTTTTGAAGACAGGTTCTCACATTGTACCCAGGCTGGTCTAAAACACAGGAAATCCTCCTGCCTCAGCCTGAGAAGTACTGGGATTACAGGCATGAGCCACCATGCCCAGCCATCTCTTAAGTTTTCTAATGTAAATGTTTACTGTATGGTAAGCACTTTCAAGCAATTTATATTAATTAGTATGAGCCTCAAAAAACCCTAGTCACTCCCATATTAGCAGTAGGAATTAAGCATCAAGAAGTAGCATGCAGAGGTACACAGAGGACTGCCTTAGTCTGCCTTCAGAATTTATTAATCCTGTCTTCCTGATAAACTCTAAGGAAAGGAGTGCTTAGAAACAGGCATCTCCACACTGATACTCACATTAAGGAAGCGGCCCACATTTCCTTCTTTGGAAGCATCCAGTAGAAACCCATTCTCTTTACTGAGCCTCACTAGAGAAGGGGACGGGGTCTTCGTCCTTTCACTTGGCAACTCCTCATCACAGAAGACCTGCTGACTCTGTGAGTCTGCCGGTTCTCCTTCTTGGGATGTTTTTACTGGAACTTCAAGCACCTTTTTAGTATTCTCATTATTCGATGTGGCTATGCGCTTACACCTGCCCTCTGGTGAAGTGTCTTCTTGACTTTTAGTTACTTCTATCACATCTGATTCAATCAGCTGTCTGTCTTCAGAATGTCCAACTTGGTTTGAACTTAAGTCCTCTAGTAGACATTGTTAAGAAGAAATTGTCAGGCCATATACTTGTAATTAAGTTAGATGACAGTTGCTTTAATTAGTACTAATCCTTATCATGCATTAAGGTAGGCAGTATTACTTGACCTTTATAAATGAAAACACTGAGTGTCAAGGACTAAAAAGACCTTCCTGACTCATACAGAGAATACAGAAACACACAGGTGTGCCCAGCTTCTAAAGCATGTTTTCTTTCTGTGGCATCATAGCTTTTAATGAATCTACCTGTTGGTTCCTCATCAATGTATTTAATATCAAATCCAAAAAATGTGGCTTTCCTTTCATCGACTCTGGAATCTGCATTTAAGTATATTCTAGACTCATGTAACAGAGAGTGGCTAGGCCTTTAACATACCATAGTTCTAAGACAACTCTGCCAGGAGTTCTTTTTTTCAAACTCCAGCAAAAACAACTGTGTTTCCAGGGCCTTGCACATACTGATGTTTGGTGCCTTTTTTAAATGACCAGTCAAAAATTGTACTTTTATAAACCAATAAAAGTGATATACTTAGTTTTTGTAAACATAATGGAACTAACCCTTTGTGAACATAAAAAGTATGCATACATGTCAGATAGAATAACTAAATTCATGTACTTAAAAAAAAAAAAAAACCAACCCACTTGCTGTGGGATGTTCTGTATGGCAAATGTGTTGCTGATTAGTCAATAAATAAAACACTGATTGGCCATTGGCTAGGCAGGAAGTGTAGGCAGGACAAGGAGGAGAATAAAGCTGGGAAGTGGAAGGCTGAGTCAGAGAGACACTGCCAGCCGCCACGATGACAAACAGCATGTGAAGATGCCGGTAAGCCACGAGGCAAGGTATAGATTTATAGAAATGGATTAATTTAAGCTGTAAGAACAGTTAGCAAGAAGCCTGCCATGGCCACACAGTTTGTAACCAATATAAGTCTCTGTGTTTACTTGGTCGAGTCTGAGCGGCTGTGGGACTGGCAGGTGAGAGAGATTTATCCTGACTGTGGGCCAGGCAGGAAAACTCTAGCTACACCCACTCATGCCCATATAATTCAGTGCCCTCCCCTAAAATTATACTTTAGTTAAAAAGTTGATCTTGGGGCCTGGAGAGATGGCTCAGAGGTTAAGAACACTGGCTGTTCTTCCAGAGGTCCTGAGTTCAATTCCCAGCACCCACAAGGTGGCTCACAACCATCTGTAATGAGATCTGGCTCCCTCTTCTGGCCTGCAGGATACATGCAAACAGAACACTGTACTCATAATAAATAAATAAATCTTTAAAAAAAAAAAAAAAAAAAAAAGAAAAAAAAAAAAAAGTTGATCTTAGGCTGCCGATATGGTACAGTGGGTAAAAGTACTTGCTGCCAAGTCTGAAGTCCTGAGTTCAATCCCTGGCACCCCATGTGGTGAAAGGAAAGAACAGATTCCCAAAAACTGTCCTCTTGACCTTGGCATGCCATGGCATGTGTACATAAACATTCCTTTCCCTCAAATAAATGGGTAAATATTTTTTAAAAGGGGGGGGCAAAAATCTTTGAAAGTATTAAAGGAAAATAAAATTAATCTCAAAGAAGTCAGGAGCAGAATAGTGGTTACTGGAGCCTGGGAAGGATCTGAGGAAGAGGGGCAGAGTGAGGTGGCTAATAAGTGCAGGGGTACAGTAGGACAGGAGGTGTAATTCTCACATCCCAGACGGCACAGTAAGAGCAGTGGTTGCCAATAATTAATGGTCTATTTCCAATAAGGACAATTTTAAATGTTCCCAACATGAGGAAATGACAAATCCCTGAAGTAAATGATCATTACACACTGTATACTGAATGCCATACCATACTCATAAATACATGTAACTATTAATTAAAAATATTTTTAGAAAGAAATTCTACTTACTAAAAAATAAAGGCTCATGGTTTAATCATTATCATGTAGATGCTGATCCTACAGTACTTGTATTTTAGTCAAAGATTTCTGATAGATTCTACTAGCTATATAGTGTCATTATTTGGACTCTGCCTGCTACATATACTTATCAACTGATGAAAATAGACAAAGAGCCAAAGCAACCGTACTCATTATGGCTGATGTGTATTAAAGGGTAAAATAACTATTATATAAAATGCTCTTTCTTAATAGAATTTCCCAGTAAGGAACAAGAATACCTCCACCAATCTATCTTCTAATACTAGGTGAGGAGTTAGGGTTGCAGATTAAGGGTATGAAATGGGAGAAGAGGCAGCAGTGGCAGGTCTGTGCTCCATAACAGGGCATCTGTCATCCATATCTCTCTACTAAGGGATCCATCAAAATACAAAAGTTCCCAGACCCAGGTCTGCCCAAGTTGTAACATTTATCATGTAGAGGATATCCTCTGAAAGACGGTACTCTGTGGAGGAAGATTTTGTAGCCTTGCTAGCATTACACTAAGGATCCTACACAGTGATGTTGGCAGAACTTCTAGAGTAATGTATCTTTAAGAGTTCCAAAAGAAAGATTTGAAGTGTGGCTGCTTTGGCTAGTGCTTCCAAAGTCACAGACAATACCTATGGACCATGCAGTCAGAGCCATCCACTCTACCCCTTCTGCCATGTAGTAGGTCATTGCTGAAAGCAGACCAGAAGTCTACAAAGCTCCTATAAATGTAGGACTAGTCAGCAAGGATTTCTAATTCTATGATCTCTGTTGTGACTATTCAAGTATGCTGATGTAGAGGGAAAGCAGAAACAGGTAAATCAATGCCTGTAGCTATTTATTCAACTAAAACTTTATTGACAGACACTCGTGTTGTAAGTTCATAAAATTCTCAAATGTCATGAAATATTATGCACTATCTCATTTTTCAACTATTTAAAAACGTAAAAAGTATTCTTTTACCAACCATAATTAACATCTGGCAGGCCAGATTTGGAATACAATTTACTAGTTTCCACATGGCAAACCCATCAATTTGTTATGAAGTCTACGGAAAGAAGTGGTAGATACTGAATAAAAGGGACAAAGAGGCAAGGGATATAGACAGCCATAAGGAAATAAAGCCTACCGTGAGCTCTAGCTTTAGAGTTTCTGTGTTCGTGAGCTGCTTTAAATCCATTCTTATCTTCGGGGGTGGTAGATTCTGAGGAAACAAATCCCTTCAAAGAAAGTAAGAAAGACAGCTGTACTCTCTAAATCAGGAAAACATGCTTAGCAGCGGGGCCTCTTTCACCAAGGATCACTCTTTCCAGGCCATATATAGTAGGTTAGCTTTGAAAAGGCACAAGGCTAGTACTGTAAGGAGCCTTGACTTAAGTGGAGCCAGCACATGTGCCCCTTTTACACTGCCTACTTCCAGGCACTTTAGTAAGCTACAACTACAACAATTGTCAAGATAGTATTTGGGCTAAAAGTATAATAAATCTGTCTGTATCTCAGACTCAAATAGCCTGTATATTCAAAACAATAAAATAAATCCTACATAGTATTATGTAGCATAAATATTTTGGTAGAGGCTAGAAAGGTAAGATAATGGTTAATGGCCTTGGAAAGACATCGTCTCTTCTTTTTTCAAGATATGTCTTGCTATGTAGCCCAAGTTGACTTCAAATTCATGATCCTCCTGAATTGGCCTCCCAAGCACTAGCACTGCAGGTGTGCCATTATGCTCAGTTTGATCTTGTAGTTATTACCATGCTTTTCTCATTGTAATGAAAAACAGCTGTCTTGAATTTAGGGCTTCTAATGACTGAGAGACGCTGAGTTCTTGAAATATTTCTATAGTTCATTTCCCTGAAAAGGAAAAGAAAGGTTATTCTGTATATCACTAAAAGTTTCTTTTATTAGACCATAAAATATAGGTAATATCACTACTTCATAAACTTCCTTTATTGTCAGAAATTAATCTAGGGACTGGAGAAATGGCTCACTGGTTAAGAGCACTAGGTGCTTTTCCAGAGGACCTGGGTTCAATTCCCAGCACCCACATGGTGGCTCACAACCATCTGTAATCTGTAACTCCAGTCCCTGGGAATCCAAAACCCACTTCTGACTCGAGTGCACCAGGCACAAAGTGGTAAGGCCAAACACCAATACACATAAAATAAAATTAAAACATTAAAAAAAGATATTAACCTATATTACATCTACACTATCTAATGGAGGAAGGAAAAGGTAATCATTAGCTACCAATAATTTTAAAATGTGTTTTTTGGGTTTTCTTCGTTTTTTTTTGAGACAGGGTTTCTCTGTGTAGTTTTGGTGCCTGTCCTGGATCTCGCTCTGTAAACCAGGCTTGCCTCGAACTCACAGAGATCCCACTGGCTCTGCCTCCGAGTACTGGGATTAAAGGTGTGTGCCACCAAAGCCCGGCTAAAATGTGTTTAAAAAAAAAAAATAAGAGACCCTAATAAAGCTTTCCAAATACAATGGTGATACAAAAATAAAATTAAAATTTATAACATTCATAAAGAGCCAGATGAAAGTTATTACAGTGAACCTAGAAATGGGGGACCGAAGGAAATGTGTTGGCTAGATTTTCAAGGTAAGAATGCTGGATTTCTAGAAGTGTTAAACTTAATTTGTGAGACAAAAAGATATTTAGGGGAGGGGTGGTAGGAAGAGAGAGAGAGACATAGAGGGGAAAAGACCCAAACACCTCTGATCCATAACAAGTGGGTATACCATGATCCGAAGTTTCTACTTACATAACAGGCTCTTTGAGATCACTACTAAACTTAATAGGACATTTCTCAGTTTTAGGACTTCTAGGATGTGTTTCACAATCTGAACATGCAACTTCTATCTTCCTCTTTTTGGAAAGTGTATTTTTTACAATGTTTTGTTGTTCTCTTCCATTTTCATCAGTATTAGTTTTCTCAGGAGTGGCTCTGCTTAGTAATCTTCCTGAAATAAAACAGAGATCAAAACAGAAAACAACCACTACCAACCAGCAAGTAGGCATCTCTTCTCTATAAATAAAAGACTTTGAGTGCACTGTATTTCTAGAAACGATAAAGTCACCCTACAAATTCTAGAATATAGGTAACTCATCCAAGAAAATCGTTCCACGACACTAAAAAAAGACTAATGGGAGACTTACTGTCCTACATTCAGAGTAAATATGAGCTTTTTGAGGCCGGGTGGTGGTGGCGCACGCCTTTAATCCCAGCACTCGGGAGGCAGAGCCAGGCGGATCTCTGTGAGTTCAAGACCAGCCTGGGCTACCAAGTGAGTTCCAGGAAAGGTGCAAAGCTACACAGAGAAACCCTGTCTCGAAAAACCAAAATAAATAAATAAATAAATAAATAAATAAATAAAAAATAAATAAATAAAATGAGCTATTTGAAAGAAGCACCAGTCAATTTTTGTAATTTAAAAAGAGATCCATAGTAATATAAAACAAAAACAAAAAAAAGTGCTCTAGACAATGAAAAGTAAACTTGTTTAAATATTTTTTAAAGTTTAAAACCTTAAACTCTTGAAAACTGACCTATTTAAAATTTGTGACATCTACCTACTATTATGCTCATACTCAGTTTAATATTAAAATCTGTGTCTCATTTAATGTAGTTTCTTTCAAGACTCAAAATCATACTCCTTAAGTGAGAATTAGTGGCTAGATGTTCCCACTCATCTTTCTAGGTCAACCGTACTTGTATGTTCTAGCTCTGGAGAGACTGCCAACAACGCTTCCTGGACACCACTTAGGGTGTAGAAACAGCTTCCACTCAAGAGTTAGTCTGAGAAATACGATCAATGTCTATGCAGGCTGGATAGTATATGTTAGTGGTGTGTGACAGATTCACGCATGACCTACTCTGGAGTCCCTGAAACTAAGTGAGATGCTTAAAGTAACTGTCTAAATCATCATATGCAAATATTCATTACAATATTAATTTGTAAAAAACATTGAGGAGTTTTTGATTGGTTGTTTTTACCTTAGTGAGTTATTAGTTTTCTTATTTAGAACTTTTCTTCCCTTCCTCTAGAGCATCTGTAGCTATGAAGACAATGTGCCTCTTTCTGAAGCACCTATGGCATCTCAGCCCTTTGGGACCCAAGATCCAGTCACTTGTCTCCTCTGGTGCTCCCCTACATCTTGTTGATCAGCACCTTGCTAAAGGATGCCAATGGCAATGTGTATTCAGATGTATATAGATCCAACTAGGAAATAATTAGCAAACAAAGCTTTGCTTTACCTGAATAAATGCACACAAATGTCCCTCTGTCAATGTCATCCAGGCAGCGTACTCCCCAGCCCTTCTTCTCACTTTTGAACACCTGTAGCCTCACCTGGGGACCATGTTGGACGACTCGGTTCTGACACAACTGACGGTTACACTTGCACAACAGGTTGCATTCATAAATGCTGGCAATCATAGACATAAGACAATATAAATTAGATAGCCTAAAAAGCAAAATGAAATGTATATTGCTATTTCACTTAACTAGTAATGAAACTGAGGGAAGTGTGAAAGCTTAGGGCTAGATTGCCTCGGTTACTAGCTACAGTTTCTGTTTTTAAAATGGAGTTTATTTTTATTTATTTATTTTTATGTGTAGAATATTTTCCCTGTGAACATAACTGTACCACCTGCATGCCTAGTGCCCACAGAAACCAAAAGAGGGACTGGATCCCTGAGACCAGAAGTACAGCCCAATGTGAACTCTCATGTGGGTACTGGGATTTGAACCTGAGCCCTTTGGAAGAGCAGCCAGCACTCTTGACCACTTAACCATCTTTCCAACCTCAAATGAGACGTTTCTGTAACAAAGCTTAACCCATGGGGCTGTTTCATCAACATCCACACCACAATATTTACCAGATGTGTAACATGGTACTCAGTACATAGTATATGTTAGCTTTTTAAACGTGTAAAGGAAATGTATGGGATCAAACTCTAATTCTAGTTCTAATTCTTATTACTTAGCATCAGTTTTGATAGGCTGAAATTAATCAACTGACAAATTAGTTCCCTTCACTCACTTTTTCTTTTAATAAATATATACTTATAATATTATTAGTGTGTATGTGTGTGTTTGGGGGAAGGGGGATCACGCTAATGCATGTGTTGCACACAGCCATACAAGCACAGAAGCCAGAGAAGGATGTCAGGTGTCGTGTTCTACTACTCTCTGCTTCAGTCCTTTAGACAGGATCTCTTCACTGAACCTGAAGCCAAGCTAGGGCCAGCAAGTCCCAGAGGCCCTATGTCTTCACCCTCTAAAAGCTCTGGGGTTACAGGCATGTATAGCTTTTTATGTAAGTGCTGGGTATTTGAACTCAGGTCCTCATGCTTTCCTGCTGAGTCAGCTCCTCAGCCCCTTCATTTGTTTTTGAAACAGCTTCCCTATGTGGTTTAGGCTGGTTTTTAACTCAATATCGTCCAGCCTCTGCCGTGTGCTGGAGGCATATGTTTTAATGGGAAAATGGTACTCAGAGCGACTCATTTCCTGAGGAGTTAGGCTTGAAGCAGATGAGTGTTTGAGTATATTTTGATATACGTGTGATCTCTGACTTCCATTTCTAAGAATATACAATGGTTTCATGTTATTAGCTCTTAGTAATTTAGATTTTTCAGTATTAGAAACACATATAAACAAAATCTATAAGACTGTAGACCAAAATAAAAGAAAGCACTCTCTGGGCCTGGGGAGATGGATTAGTGGTTGAAATGCATGCTATGAAAGCATGAAGACCTGAGCTCAGATCCTTAGAACTCATATAAAAGCTGGGCAATGGTGGAGCCCATATGTAACCCAAGCTTGGGGAAGGGCAGCAGAAGCAGGTGCATCCTGGGGCCTGCTGGCCAGTCTGTCTAGCCAAAATGGAAAGCTCCAGTCTCAGTGAGAGACCTTATCTGAAAAAATAAATCAGGTGGCCAGTGTCTGAGGAAGATACCCGGCTTTGATCTCTGGCTCCCAGTTGTGTGCACATGCACAGTCACGTTTACCACCCCACCATTCACACAACATACAAAAGTACCATCCTTCACAGATGCAAACATCTTGCAACAAATCCTTAAGGTTACTCACCCAGTAGGTATGAGTCTCTGCAGCCTTTTATATTTATATCCAGTACATACTGCATCAGGTGACAAGGGACATGCTTTCGCATTCTTTGCTGTCAACTGAAGACATGCACATTTTTTTCTAAGAGAAAGGCAGTGGATAGAGAAGTCAGAATTAAAAATCACCAAGTTATGAGACTTGGTAAAAGTGTAAATGACATTAAAAAATGGTGTACCTTGCTGGGTGGCGGTGGTGCATGCCTTTAATCCCAGCACTCGGGAGGCAGAGCCAGGCGGATCTCTGTGAGTTCGAGGCTATCCTGGTCTACAGAGTGAGATCCATAACAGGCACCAAAACTACACAGAGAAACCCTGGCTCGAAAGAAAAAAAAAAAAAAAAAGTGGTATACCTTTATCTATAAGAGGGGTTTTGCTCAAGGACTATATGAAAACTCTTCTAAACACAAGAGGTCTATATGAAAATAATACCAACCAAAAGCTTATTACAACTAATATAAACTGTACTGAGCTATCTGACCATGCAACAGATACTTCATTATATGAGTTTTAACTTTTGAAAATGGATATTTTGCTCATCAGATGCTCGTTTGCTGATAGTCTTAGTTCTGCTCTTCTATCATAGATTATTTTAATAGTTATTCCCTCATTAGCTGATCATAGATTATTTTAATAGTTATTCCCTCATTAGCTGAGTTATATTCAACCCCTGAATGCTTAAAATCTTGTATTAGTTTATAAAGTCTATTTATTTGTGCTTTTCCCAGTACTCTGAAACATTGCCACGATACCAGAATTATTCTGCCCTTGCATGCTTTATTTTCCTGTACATCATTACTTGTATCCTCTGGGGCCATTATTAAGTAAAATAAGTCTTACTTGAATGTATTAAGAGTATGACCCTTGATCCGATAATCAATGTAGCTGTTATGTGACAGATATAGGTCATGAACATTGTGGACAAAGAGATGATTCACATTCCAGGTGGGATAAAGTGGGGTATTCCATCACATGACTCCAAACAGCATGTAGTTTAAAACTTATTGAATGTATATGAAATTTTCTACCTAATGTCTATTACTATTATTATTCATTATTATTTTTATTATCAATGTATATGGGTGTTTTGTCTGAATTTATATCTGTGCACCACTTGTGTGCCTGACGCTTGTTGCCCAGGGAGGGGAGCGGATCCCTTGGTACTGGATGTGAATTGACATGTGGTGTTGTGCATTAAACCTGGGTCCTCTGAAGAGCAGCCAGTGCTCTTAAATTCTGAAACATCTCTCCAGCACAATATTTCTAGACTACAGTTGACCACAGGAACTGGAGCTACTGTAAAGGAAGGAACTGCTGTAGTATACATAGTTTTCACCATCTTTTCAATACAAAGTGAAAAATGACGACAGGCAGATCCCATGGCTTACCAGCTAGTCAGTCACTAAACAACCATATTGACTGTCAGATCAAGATACTTGCAATTCGGTGGCTGGAGAGATGGCTCAGTGGTTAAAAAGGACTGACTGCTCTTCCAGTGGACCAGGGTTCGATTTCCAGCACTCACATGGCTGCTCACAACTGTTTGTGACTCCAGTTCCAGGGAACCTGACACCCTCACACAGACATATATGAAGGCAAAACACCAATGCATGTAAAAATAAATAAATAATTAAATAAATAAGTTTAAAAAAGAGATACTTGCAATGCTTTGGAATTTGTAGGAAAAGCACAAATAAATAGACTTTGTTACTAATACAAGATTTTAAGCATTCAAGTGGTCCTTGAGTATACCTCTCAGATAATGAGGGAAAAACTGCATTAAAATAACTTCCCTTTTTCTTTTACTTAGTATAGGCAGCTAAATTTGTGTAGTTAACTATACATATAACAGAAACCTACCCTATTACCATCAAACCTACAGATGGATATGTATTACACATCTTTAAAAGAAAATGTTTCTCAAGGTCTTAACATATCAGAACATATTTTCATTTTCTTGATGGAATGTCAATATAATGGTTAAAGAATAGTAGTTGTGAGCACACTGACATTCCAAAAAATTAGCTAGTAATGATACTTAATTTGTAAAAGTAAAATATAACAAGTGACACAGAAACTAGGATCAAAGGTTCAAATGCTGCCTCTCCAATTTGTCTGTGATCTCTTTGAATTTATTTCTGAGACTAATGTCCTTATTTGTATGACAGAAATATATTACCTAACATACAGGCTTTTGTGATGACAGAGAATGAATGGATTTTAAAGTGTTTGGGCATGTATGATACTCATACACAGCACTGTAATTGTTATTATAACTATGGCACTACATAAAAGGAAATACTCATTCTTAGAAGAAATAAATTTCAAATTACCATTTTTGGCAAAGAATATGGCTAATGAAATGCTATCTTTTCATCTATTTTAGACAATTTGTGCACAGGTTTTATACAGGCAAAATGACAACCTGGACACAGTAGGACTGGACAAATGTGTCTACATTTAGAGATTGTTTGAAACGTTCTGTTTTCTACTTACATGTCTATACAGCCCTCAGAGCAGTCACATGAATCAGAAAACATGTTGGAAAAATTTAGGTAGTATGCTCGGGGCCATACTGTCTTTCTGTACTTAAACTGTGGAAGTTTCCTCCTGTCAATTTCATTACAGAAAGAAATCGGCACTGATTCCACTCCGTTACTAATATCCACTTCAGAAACAACTTTATCTTGCTTTGGGTAATTCCGAGTCAACTGAACATAAGTATTGAAAGAAAAGTGGTCTGTGAATAAAAAGTTACACTCTGTCTCAATAAGGTAATGAAAAACTTCCTCCATGTTTCGTAGACTCCGTCCACAGGGCGTTTTATAATTTACGTGGAGAGCAGAAGAATGAGAGTTTGTTTTTGCGTGTCGTCTTTGGAAGTGACATCTGATTGGTAGCTGCAGAGGGTTTTCTCCCTTCAATGACAGTGGTGTTTCCATTAGACAAGCACTGGAGCAGATATGGCCACAGAAAGACACACTCAAAGGGGGTTCCTTCTTCCCCAGGTCTGCAGCTTTCCTGGTTACAGGGAGGAATGCTTCTTTTCCTGGAGATCTATTAGAATAAATTAATTATTAGTACCTCAAATTCATAGTCTTGCTTCATTGTTTAAAAACACTGCAGACTAAGGTGCGATTACTTACAACATCTTCTTGGACAGCAGTAAGATATTCTAGACTCTGAAATATCAGACTATTCCAGAAGCTCCAGCTAGCTGTGGCTTTTTACTAGGCCCTGACATGCACACTGAGAGCCTGCACTTGTTCAAAGACAGAACAGCATTTTTTCATGTGGGGTTTGTTAAGCCTTTGCCTAGTAAAACTAAGGTAGCTGAAAAATTAGTTAAGAACCCTTTACAGTGCCTTCATCCAACAACTATTTAACTCATTTCCCCTCACAATATGTAATCCAGCTGTCAATTATATTGATACTCTGAGAACAGAAACTGACAAAGAAAATTGGATGGCAATCAATCTAATGGGAAGAAATCTGAAAAAAAAGTTCTTGTATTTTGAACCCCATTTTTAAATGTCTTCAAAGAATTTGAATTATATTTTACTGTCTATTATATATTAAAACAGATATTTTATTTACTTTTGTCTCAAAAAAACCCCCAAACACTTGGTATTTTAGTATGTAATAGACAATGAATCACAAGGAACTTTCTGAGGTTACAAAACATCATTTGATGAACAGCGATATGTGAAGCAACTTCACGGTGTACAGCTATCTCTGCCATTCCTGTTAGTCCATCACATTATAGTACTGAAAACCAGATTTTGTTAATATTGCCATTTTTCTTCCTCAGGGGACAATTTCCTTCAACTGGTTATGTATACAATTTCATCAATGAAGGGGGTCTTGGTGTTTTGGGATTTCAGTGTAATGGGTAAAATGATATCCTATCATTTGAGTGTAAATATTTTAATGTTGGAACTATTTCCAATTTGTCTCTGCATTAGTGCTTTGATGAACATCTTCAGATAAAAATTCTTGACCAAGTTTCAGATTATTCTTCCATCTCTTTAAGAGGAATTAATAGTCAATAAGAACACACATCTAAAACAAAACAAAACAAAACAAAACAAAAAAGACAAAACCTTGATTAATAAAAATAACCAAATACAGGGTTGGGATTTAGCTCAGTGGTAGAGTGTTGCCTAGCAAGCACAAGTCCCTGGGTTCCATCCTCAGCTCTGGAAAAAAATATATAAATAAAAATAACCAAACAGATATAAGAATATATTTTCTAATAAAGACCCAAACGTGTCTTTGAGAACTACAGAAATCTCAGCAAATAAGGACATTATCCAAACTTCTGCACTAGAAGATAACTAAACTCTGGCATAGTTCCTGGTAGGCATAGGCCCACATGCCTATGATGATCGATACCTTCCTTTAAAAAGCCTGAGGGATTGGGAGTGCAGCTCAATAATATAGTACATCTTAGCATGCACGTATAAGGAATTGGTTAGATATACAGAATGATTAAAAACACAAAAACCTAGCAAAACCCAAATTCTTCCTGAGAAAGTTCCATATTACCAGGAGAATGTAAAGTTGTTCTAGGATCTAAGGGTGGGCATAAATACTGCTGGTCCTCTCTACACCTTCTCAAAGGAGAGGGGCTAACACTCATGAATTTTCTATACCTTCCAGTTTCCTATGTATGTCTTCCTATACAAAATTATCTTTCTCAAAGATGTGAAAGCAATGCTTTTGGTGAACAAAAGTAATTTGGGGGAGGCATTATTAGTCTTCCAGTTTCTGTAGGAGAATGGAATTCTAACTTCAATGACAATGGCATTTTGTTTTGATCCTAGGGATAGCAGACCTTGTGCATGGTAGTCACAGGCTCTACCAATTAGCTACATCCTCACTTTAATAATAATGTTAAATGTCAATAGACGCAGCTGTTTTCATCATTCACACCGACCAAAGATTTTTAAGTTCTTATATGAGCCCAAGATTGCTCTCTAATTCATAACCCTTTTAGATGCCCAATCACTCCTACACAAAAAGATTGGATTTTAGTCCTTTCTTTATTGTCAGTAGATACTAACTGAACTCTCACTAACATGGCTGTGTCAACCTTTAATTTTGACCCTTGTCAGCAGGCTTTACTAATTAGCAACATTTTTAACAATTTATTCTCTTCTTTCTCTTGCCCACCCACTTTCTTCTGCAGTATTTTAAAGCAAGCTTCTGTCATCACATCTTTGTATCCAAAACAATTCAGCAGGTGTTTCTAACAAAGTTGGATTTGTTTTAATGACCCATATCACCTATTTGCCCAAACACAAACTTCATGCTATGCGTGCTTCTAGTATTCTTTTCCCCTTTAACAGAGTATCAATGCATCCTCCTCTTCGTTTTATGGTATCTATTAAAACTGAATTTTGTCACTTGGTCTGTGTCACTTCTCACATTTTGGAATTAGCTAATGCCACCTAGTGGTGACATTATTTAATTCAATTCTCCACCTACTATAATGTAAGTTAATTGGTAGTCCTAGAAAGGAAGATTCAAGTTCCAAATGTTGTGGGAGATGAGGGCAGGAAGGAATGAATCACAAGTACTGGTGTCAGTTTCCAAGGTCTTGTTAATTCACTCTTTGAGATGCAAAGATTGGTAAGTGGAGTTTGAGTATTTTCAGCCAAACCGTCATGATGCTTCACTTAGGCTTTGTGGTCATTTAAAGTGTGTGAAAACTTGTACAGCTACTTTCTATAAGACTATTGCTTCTTCACAAACTAGAAGTTTAAAACCAAATAACTGTCCTCACCACAGCTAGAAGGGAGGTGCTTTACTGCTCCTGTTTGGGCTATGGGGGACACAGACTTGCAACTGTGATGCAACTCGGATGAACCAATACATCATTATTATTGACTTCTCTGGGCTGCAATGTTTAAAAACTTGTTTTTTTTACACTTATTTGTTTCTTGTGTGTACATGTGGAGGTCAGAGGACTACTTTTGGGAGTCTGTCCTCTCTTTCCATCATGTGGATTCCAGGGATCAAATTCAGGGTGTCAGGTTTGAGGCAAGTATACTTACCTGCTGAGTCATCTCACTGGCTGAAATTATTTTACAAAGAAGAAATTTTCCTAACTCTTGAGTTATCATGGTACATAACTAGTACAGGAAAAATGTAGTGTTTGATGCTTCCTCTCCTCTCTATTTACTAATATCCATAATAATAAGCTATAGCTCAGCAAGTGTCAAGGTGACTTTTAATGTGATTAAGAATGAATGGAGTTTATAGTTTAATAAACTGTGCTGGCTAGTTTATGTCAACTTGACTTAAGCTAAAGCCATCTGAGAGGAAGGAATCTCAACTAAAAAAATGCCTCTGTAAGACTGGGCTACAAGAAAGCCTATAAGGCCTTTTCTTAATTAGTGATTGATGGGGGAGGGCCCAGCCCATTGTGGGTTGGGCTACCCCTAAGCTAGTGGCCCTGGGTTCTATAAGAAAGGCTGACCAAGCCACTGGGAGCAAACCAGTAAACAGCTCCCTTCCATGACATCTACATCAGCTCTGGCCTCCAGGTTCCTGCCTCTTTTGAATTCCTGTCCTGACTTCCTTCAATGACAGACTACAATGTGGAAGTATAAGCCAAAGAAAACCTTTCTTTCGGGACTTGCTTTTTGGTCATGATATTTCATTGCAGCAACAGAAATTCTAATTAAGACATAAACTTAAATCAATCACAGTGATAATTCTTTTGGGTGTTCTAATTTCACTTTATTGAACCACATTTTAGCCAATAGATTAAACTTAAATCTTATACTTTCTAGGCAGATTAAATTATCTATAGCAGGCTGGGGACACAGCTCATTGGTAGAACATTTGCCTAGCCTGGGTGACAGGTGGGTTTTAAAAGATTATCTGAGGCTTGGTGGTTATAAAGTTCAGTTTTCAGTATACATAATGGCTTAGAACCACCTACAACTCTAGTTCCAGGGTATTCAATTCGTTCTCCCAGTCTTCAAGGCACCTGCATGCATATAGTGCATATAAATTCCTGTCAACAGGCAAGCAGGCAGACAGACAGACAGACACACACACCCTTATGAACACCTACAATTTTACTTTACACATTTCAGTAACTTTTTTTTGATATCTTACTGTATTAGCTACAAATTCTAGAAAAATACTGGAAAATAACTATGATAGTAGTAGTTCCAGAGGCCAGTTTTATTTAAAGGAAATGCTTCTAAGGTTTTATTAATGTTATGTGGGCAGTGGTTTGATAAAAATATTTTCTATAGTATTAACAATTCTATTTCTAATACTTGCTATTATTTTCTAAATGGCTTGACATTTGTTGAGACTTTTTATGTCTACTTTTATAAAATAATTTCATACACGCCCATGTCTCAAACACTATGACTTCTCCAATCTTAACTTTTATTATTTTCACTCACCTTTGTGTTAAGAAACGAATAGCTGAGAAAGTTTTCTGGAAAAATATGCAGAAAATAAATTTTCTGAGTTTTTACATAAAATTGTTATTAATCTTTTAATATTGATACTAAACCTTTTTTAAAAAACTTGTTTTCAGTCTAGAGAGATGTCAGCGGTTAAGAGCAATAGTTGCTCTTCCCAGGGGACCAGGGTTCAATTCTTAGTATCCACATGGTAGCCCACTCTAGTCTCATGGGATCTGATACTCTCTTCTGACCTCCTCAGGCATCAGGTATCGGGCATGTGGTGACAGACACACACACCAACAAAACCCCCACACACATAAAATAAATCATTAAAAACAAGAACAACTTATTTCTGTCTACTAGCACTCTGTTACTTGTTGAAGTCTTTTATCTCCAGACTTGGTATTTTCTTATTCTCTCAGGTCCTTTCAGTTTTGAGTTTTTTGAAACAGAGGTTCACGAGGCCCAGGCTGGCCTAGAAGTCACTATATGATAAAAATAACTCCTGATCCTCCAGTTTCCAACACCCAAGTGCTGGGATTATAGTCCTCTGAATCATGCCCAGCCTAAGTTTATTTTTTTGTGTTTAACCTAGTGCTAAGAATTTCTTTCTTTGTATGATTGGGTGCCAAGTTCCTTCTAAGCATTTTCTGGATGTAAAGCATAATAGCCAATAATCTTCATTACAGTTTACAATATACTTTTTAAAAAGATTTATTTTTACTACTGTTTTTATTTATGGTGTGTGTGTGTATGCCATGTATGTTCAGGTACCTGTAGAGGTCAGAAGAGGGCATTAGATCCCCTGGACCTGAACACATGATGTGGGTTCTGGGAACCAAACTCCTCTGGAAAAGCAGCATGGCGTCTTGACCACTGAGCCATCTCTCTACCTCTTCCAATATAATTTCATATGGTTTTTCCCACATGGCACTTAAGTATAGTTTCAAGTCAAGTAGCCATTACTAAAGCAATATGCAACTAAACTTACGCAGGACAAATATTTTAATAGTAAGTATTCTAGTAAAACTTGTAATTTGGATTTCAAGAAAGCCAATCTAGTTTAAAAGCAGACTTCTTCTTTTTTTTTTTTTTTTTTTTTTTTGGTTTTTCGAGACAGGGTTTCTCTGTGTAGCTTTGCGCCTGTCCTGGATCTCACTCTGTAGACCAGGCTGGCCTCGAACTCACAGAGATCCGCCTGCCTCTGCCTCCCGAGTGCTGGGATTAAAGGCGTGCGCCACCACCGCCTGGCAAAAGCAGACTTCTTAAAAATAAATTATTTAAAAACTAAGAAATGTTCAGTTCTAGTTACTATGAAAATTAACAAAGGAGGAAGTATCTATATTTTAGAAGAGTAAGCAAACAGAAATCATGGAAATGAAACACTAGTTTAAACCTTAGAAATCACTCTTTCTTATTCATGTTTCACTTTAGTAAATAGATGCAGGAAAAGAGCAACTTCCTGTAAGACTCACAAGTAATATAACCCAATTTCACCTCCATCTTACAGAGGGGAACATTAATTTTCTTAAGACTACATTACTGGGGGAAAAGACAGAATACCGGGCCTTCAAAGATAATGTAAACCTAATACAACCCTCTGAAAATATAATGTTGGAGATAAAGAAAAAAAGCTGCTGGCAAGATGGTTCAGTCGGTAAAGGTGCTGGCCACCAAGCTTGACAGCCTGAATTGGACCTGCAGAACCCACATGATAGGACAGAGTCAGCTCCAACAAGTTGCCCTCAGACCTCCATACACTCGCTCCCCAACACCAAACAGAATCAACTAAATAAGCATTAAGATTTTTTTTTTTTTCAAAAAGGATAAGGTGACTGGGAACTTTGGTTAGACCCAACACATATATACCTATATTTGCTTGCCAGCCTTTGGGTAAAGGATTTTTAGTTTGAATGTGTCTTGAGAACAATGTTGCTGTTAGTAACCCTGAACTTAAGAAAAGTGGGATTTAGAGAGGCTGCAAAGTGACTACAGAGAATTTTGTTAAGTAAAAAGACACTCTATCCTTTACTTCTGTATTAGGAGTCATGAATATAGGGTGGAGGTATAGGTAAGGGGCAGAGTGTGAGCTTATTATCTTTCAGATTCTAGAGTCATCCCATAGTATCAGGGAAACAAAGCAAATATATATGTGACGATAAGGACAGACAAATGGAAGGGAGGGGGAAAGGGAGGGGGGAGGGAGGAAAATATATCAGACTTGTTTGCTTTTGCTGTCTCAGTCTCAAAGCTGTTGGGTCACATATATACATTAACTACTAAAACCATCTCTCAAGATTTAAATTAAAAATACATCATGAAGTAACACGTAAAACAAGGAATTCGTAAGCGTTTAGCTGGGGTAGCTAGGTAAAACACCGTGCAAACAGAAGAACCTGGAACAGGGAAGCAGCATCTCAGCACCCACTTCCTGGTTCCACTTGAGTGCCTACACTTCTTGCTGTGCCACACTTCCGGGCCTCTGTCAATGTATACAGGTATGCGTGTACATATACAAAAGTTAATCTGCCAGATTCATGTGCTTGTCTATGAGAAACCAAGGGATTTATATCTATGCCCATGTGTTTTATCAGCTGGAGTCCACTGTCACCTTGTGTGTTAGCCAAAACTGCACACTGGCATAGCTCTAAAAATTTTAGCAAAATGCTCTTGATAAAGCATTGCACTTGCCTAAGAAAAATGAATTAAGCTAGTTTTTATAAACAGAGATACCCTTTTAAAAAAATTAAATGTTTTACTACATTTACAAATTTCAAGTATCACCTATGTGGAATGGAACTGAAATGCTGAAAGCATACTTTCTACCCCTAAGACTTTTCATACTTGATTTTACCACTATGACATGTTGTTTGATCTTGAGCAGTTCAGAGGGCTGAGAACTCACCTTGTAGCTTATTAGCCTGCCTATGCGACTACTGGCCCAGTAAGTGTTTTTTTTTTTTTTTTCAAGACAGGGTTTCTCTGTGTAGTTTTGGTGCCTATCCTCGATCTCGTTCTGTAGACTAGGCTGACCTCAAACTCACAGAGATCTGCCTGGCTCTGCCTCCTGAGTGCTGGGATTAAAGGCGTGCACCACTGCCACCTGGCCCATTAAGTGGTTTAACTACTTAAAGAAAAACAAAACAAAACAAACTAACCAAACAAAACACACACACACACACACACACACACACACACACACACACACACACACACACTAAATCATAAAACATAAAATAAAACAAAAAATCCTCATAACCTGCAGGGGAAATCCAAATGGAATTATTTTTAAATTCTAGTCACCAGTATGTTGGTGCATGCCTTTAAAAATCTCAGCACTCGAGAGAAAAACAAAAGAAAGAAACAAACAGAATTCTAGTCAAGAGTGAGCTGCAGCTTTGGAATTCTTAACACAAAGAAGAAAATTCTGAGCCTAATTAGACATGTTCTTTCATCTGAAAAGATCTCTCCAGACATATGAAATCAGGTCTGATCTCTGAGTGACAGCCCAGTCCAAGAGCTCTCAGAAGCAATAAAGAAATGAAGTTTTAAGTGAGCAATCAGGAGCATACTTAATGGGATGGATTAGTGGCTAAAGAAATCAAGTTAATTTCTTTGGGAAGCCTATAGATCTATCTATCTATCTATCTATCTATCTATCTATCTATCTATCTATCTATCTATCTACTCTATCTACCTTATCTATCTATCTATCTATCTATCTATCTATCTATCTATCTATCATCAATCAAGTCTCCCAATGAAGCCCTTACTGGACTGGAACTCAATGACAGCCTTGAACTTACAGTGATTCTGCTTTCTTAGTGCTTAGATTACAGTTATGTGCTATATGCCCAGCTGAAATTTTTAAAAGAATATAACAAAGGAAAGATGATCAGTTATAAGCAAAAATACTGGTCTAAACCTATAAGGAAAGTAGTATTAAGACTTGAGCCTGGTAAGAACTGAGGCTTTTAAAAATGCAAATGAAAAACTTTTAAAAATTAATGCTAAGCTTAGAATAAGAAAATAATATTGGGAGAAAGATGGCTCATAACAGAGAATGAAGAGTTTCTAAAAAATAAGTTTGCTGTTATCTTTTCCACTCATTAAGTATGGCTCTCAGGTTATAAAGACCAGACAAAAATGGAAAGGAACTGAAGTTCTAACATTTACAAGAATGTAATAGAATTTGACTGTGTTTAAAAGCATCAAGGACTCTATATTCACATAATTAAAAATAACAAAATGAATCTTTAAAATTATGCTTGTTGGGCAGAAATTTTTGTGAAAAAAATATCTTATTAGAATGGTTGAGTTTGTGTTTAAAAACTAACATGATTCTATGTTGTATATTGGGTTAGCATTTCTTCTTCTTCTTCTTCTTCTTCTTCTTCTTCTTCTTCTTCTTCTTCTTCTTCTTCTTCTTCTTCTTCAAGTTTTTCAAGACAGGGTTTCTCTGTGTAGTCTTGGTGCCTGTCCTGGATCTCGCTCTGTAGACCAGGCTGGCCTTGAACTCAGATACGCCTGGCTTTGCCTCCTGAGTGCTGGGATTAAAGGCATGTGCCACCACTGCCCGGCTGGGTTAGCATTTCTAATAAAAAAGTTTTGTGAGCTACTAAAATCCAGGGAGGGGAGTTATAAAAGTGTGAACTTAAATTTTTATAAGAACATATTAAATTGTTGTGAGACTCAAACTGACATCTCAACTGGGAGGCTGAGGTCACAATTCAAGGCCAGTCTCAGCTACCTAATGAGACCTTGTCTGAAAAAAACCAGACCAAACAAACCCAACAAGACATCGCTACTATTTATAATATTATGCAAACTACATGTAAAACAGTGTTTACCTATAATCTTCACAGACCGGAAAGTAAAAACGGTATAAGAATTTTTCCGTGACAATTTTTTTACAGAGCCAGTTTACTTTTACAGCTGAAAGCAGTAAGATGAGAGCAACAATTAGGAGTCCCATCAGCACTTGGAGGTTTCCTGCAGCCCTACTGTCCGTCAGGTTCCAGATCTGCTCTTGTGTAAGTCTCCTGAGAGCTAAGGAATGGTCACTGAACTCAGTGGCCGAGGAAACAGGATAAAACAGAGAGCTTCTTCTCACACTTGATACTCTGACGGCTGCTGTCAACACTGAACTGACACTGGAGGCAATTTTAACACTCCAAGTATCTGGGGGTTTTTCTCAAAGTTGATTTGGCAGAATTTCAGATGATTAATAAAACACAGACATCTTAAGCTACATTTTATAAAGGGAGGGTAATTACTTAGGGATATTTAGTAAATAGCATATTAAAGGAGTATTAACACGGATAATATACATACAGAATGGTACGGTCCTCAGGAAAGGAGTTTTCACATGATGTAGAGGGAAATGCATTTGATTTGTTTTCCTGTTCATTCTGAGTCATAGGTATATGATCTACATGGAAAAATCACAAATACGAGCAAAACAAATACAAAGTTAAAAATCATTCACTAAAACAGCCAAATGTTATCTTCACTGATTAGAAATTAAGCCCATATGGAACACTAAAATTTCAAGATACTAAGATTTTTGAGACTCAGCAATAAGATTGTCAATATTTTCAAAAGTATTATTAAAATAATTCAATATAAATTAAAAACTTAGAAGAAAGCACTCCTGGATAATGAGTTTGATATCAACTTAATCAAAATAATAGTCATTTCAGGAGAATATCAATTATTGGTAGTTCTGCCTACATTTTATAGACAAATGGCATGGTGTTTTAAGGCCTTTAAAGACCATAAAATGTTAAATTTATCTCTTGTTTCCTTTTGTTTGAGAAAGTGTTTAAAGCATTTAATTACTTCTTTTGATCTGGTTATCATTTCTTATTCCCTTGTGTATCTTTTTACCCCCTACTCTGTTTTTTTCTTTGTTCTTTTTTATGGGGGAAACAACAAGTAATTACAGTTGTAACTAAGCAAGGAAGAAAAGGTAACTAGTGGTTTAATCATTATCTAGGGAGTACAGATTAGATCTCCAGGGGCTTGTTTTGATCTCAACATCAAGCCTTTTTGTTTTTCTATACTGGCAAACAGATATATTTTTGTTCTGATAAAACTGTTCCAATTCAGGTGAATAGACCATATAAAACATACAATCATGATATAGCATTTCTATTGATAATGACTCCAAACAAAAACCCAACTGAGTCGAAAATAAGTTATTTTAGAGAGGAAAAGAAGTATTTCTTAGGATTAACTCCTTGTTACCATCTCCTTTCCTGCACTTAAAAGCCTCTCCCTCACCCTCCTATAACACTGCTGTAATCCCTTAAGGGTGTGTTCAATATGAAAGGGTGCAGAGGTGCTACAGTAGCAAAAGGATTGTTCTGAACTGAAATTTCTGAGAATCAACACATGCAGCAAAAGGTTTTATTTCCCCTTAATTAAAATAAAAAATGGGCCGGGCGGTGGTGGCGCACACCTTTAATCCCAGCACTCGGGAGGCAGAGCCAGGCGGATCTCTGTGAGTTCGAGGCCAGCCTGGGCTACCAAGTGAGTTCCAGGAAAAGGTGCAATGCTACACAGAGAAACCCTGTCTCAAAAAAACCAAAAAAAAAAAAAAAAAAAAAAAAAGGATCCTAAAAGAAAAAGAAAGTTATAAATCTTCTCTTCCAGAAGATTCAACCAGAAGACTGACCCATCACATGAAAATACAGGATGCTAGCACCATGCCATACAGACACTATTACAGTCTATAGTATAGTCACATCTACTTCTCTGTTCTCCACTCCTTTCTAAGAAGCTATCTGCTCTAGAAGTGCCCTTCTGCCTTACCTTCCTTCCTAACATGACACCAGTTTTCAAAACTTGCTGCTATGTTGAGTATTCACGTCTACGTACATTGAATTAATATACCTGTATACCTTTTAGAATGCAAATTTTCTTTTATGAGTTTAATTTATAGCCTCCAATACCAGACACACACAAAAGTTTCTTCCCCTATAATTCCAAATGTTACTGAAGAATACTGAAAGGAAAGAATTTTTTTTAAAGAGGACCTATCCTAAAAATGCATATTAGTACTGAAATTGAAATACTGAGAAAAAAAAATTCCCCAAAATATACTGGCATCATGTTAGACAACTTTTTCATAGAGTTAAAAACTTTAAGGCTCTAATTTTTGATACTAAAACAAAAACTAGCAAAATTTGCTAGGAATATCTTACAGTATAAATGAAAAGTTGGTAAATGCACTTTCAACACTTAAGGCAAAGTTATGATAAGTTAAAATTTATGAAATGATGATACTGATAAAATAACTTCAGACTATCTTTTCTACTCTTGATATATGTGGCATGACAAGAATTATATATTTGATCTGCCCTACTGCCTGATAGTATTATTACAATCCCCAGTGACAGAATGAGCACAGCATCTTCTATTGCAACTTTTGGTCTTAGTTCCAAACACTTCTAAAGGCTTTGACCTCTAGGGTGATGTTTGTCTAGTTTGCTGAGATGACTGCTAACTAGAATCCCTAGAGAGCTTCAGCATGGCAGCTGTTCCATTAGAAAAACAAAACACAAAAAATAAAGCACAATTACAGGGTTGGCATTTTCAGACTGAACCAAGTCCAGGAAGTAAGAAAGGCTGGAGACAGAGTTAATCACCAGTGGCCAGTGATTCATGCATTCATGCCTGTGTAATGAGACCTCCACAGATGTGCTAAATAAGGGGTGGGGGTGGGGAATCTCCACAGATGTGCTAAATGGGGGCAGGGACAAAGGTTTTTAGGTTGGTGAAAGCATTCCTATATTAGGAGGGTGGCATACTCCCCAAACTTGAGATTGGAGTACCTGCATTCAGGCTTCTCCAGAGGCCTCCCACATTCTTCACCTGGCTGTTTACCTGTGTCCTTTATAACACTTTCACAATAAACTGCTAAGAGGACGAAATGAATTTCCTTGAGTTTCTTGAGCTATTACAGCAAAAATTTTAAAAGAGATTTATTTTTATTTTTATATGATGTATCTACATGTATATCTGTGTGTGGAAGAGTATGTGCAAATGGCCCACAGAGGCCAGATTAGGGTGTCAGATCCCCTGGAGGTGGAGTTACAAGTGAATATGAGATGCCCAGCATAGGTGCTGGGAACTGAATTTGGGTCCTCTGGAAAGCAAAAAAACACTCTTAACCATTGAACCACCTCTCCAGCAAATTATTAAACCTATGGTGGGTATTATGGGAACCCTTGATCTGAAGGCAAGTCAGAAGTAACAGAGGCCCACGGTTTGTGATTGACATTTCAAGTAAGGGCAAGTCTTGGGGTATTGACTGCTTAAGTATGACACCTCACAGGTAGCTACATAAAACTGGAAACTTTCAGAAAATGCACACATCTGATGTCAGAAGTCTTATGAATAAAGTTTGAATTTGTTATCTTTGATCTTTTTTTTTTTTTTTTGGTTTTTCGAGACAGGGTTTCTCTGTGTAGCTTTGCGCCTTTCCTGGGACTCACTTGGTAGCCCAGGCTGGCCTCGAACTCACAGAGATCCGCCTGGCTCTGCCTCCCGAGTGCTGGGATTAAAGGCGTGCGCCACCACCGCCCGGCCTATCTTTGATCTTTTTAAACCAAACATGCTTAGCTCCTAGAAGATCGGAATTTGAAACCAAGGTGAATAAAAAAACAAAAACAAAAACAAATAGTCATCAACTTACCTACAATGGATGTAGCGTCCTAACAGTGCTGTTTATAGAAAACAGGTTTACAGTGCTTTAGACTCTAAAGAAGAAATTAACTTTCACTTTCCTTGGGCGCTTGGTAGGAGTGTGCTCCCTATCTCTAGAGGAGTAGGACTTTTCACAAAGGAAACTGTGGTTCATAAAACTTAGCAATGTGGATCTTATATGTTATTTCAGTTTACCTTTAATTAACTTGACAGATTAAGATTGGCACAGAAAGAACGAGACTATTAGGATTGGAATAAGCAATGAACATACCCTTTGTTGGACTGTTACTTGTATTTGCTTCA